TGGCGGAGGCAGCTGCGGAGGCGGCGGAGGAGGAGGCGGGCGGCGGCGCGCCGGCGGCGCAGGGCGGCGGTGAGGGGGCGGCGCCCTCTCCTGCGGCTGGCGTGGGCGCGTCTGCGGCGCCGCCTCCCTCGTTGCGTCCGCCGCCCGCGCTGGGTCCTGTGTGGGGGCGACTGGCTGCGCAGGCCAGCTAATCTCCCCATATCTCCCCATATCTCCCCCACATCTCCCCCATATCTCCCCCACATCTCCCCCACATCTCCCCCACATCTCCCCCACATCTCCCCGGCTGGCTGCGCAGGCCAGCTCGCTGCTCGGCGACTACCGCGCGAGCTTCGGGCCGCCGCCAGAGCCGCCCGTGGCCTGCATCACTTCTCACTCGCATGCACGGGCTCTCAGTTCGGAACTAGGCCGCCGCCCGCGCCGCTCCCCCTCCACGCGCTCGCCGCCGCCGCCGAGCTGCTCGCCCTCGCCTCCGCCCCTCCTCCCCGCCCGCCGCCCGCCCAGCCGCCGGACGTGCCGCCGGACGAGACTGAGGCTGCGGCGGCGGCGGCGGCGGCGGCGGCGGCGGCGGATGCTAGCAAGCGCGTCGCGGCCGACGCGGTGCGGTCGCTGGTCGGTCAGTCGATGAAGCAGCTCTTTGGCCGCGCGACCGCCGTGGCTGCGCAGGCCGACGCGCAGCTCTGGGCGATGGCGGAGTGGTTGATGATTGAGAGCTGTGACTGGAGCCGCGTCGGATCGGCAGGATTAGTTCACTAATCAGTTAATTCATTAGTTAATTGATTAGTGGAGTCGTGTCGGATCGGCAGGACGATGCGCAGCTCTGGCTCGAGTCGGTGCTGCTCGCAGTGAGCGACGAGAGCCCGGCGGCGAGGCCACCTGTGAACGGCGTCTCTTCACACAATACCCCGGCTGTGAACAGGTGAGCGGCGAGAGCCCGGCGGCGAGGCCACCTGTGAACGGCGTCTCTTCACACAATACCCCGGCTGTGAACAGGTGAGCGACGAGAGCCCGGCGGCGAGGCCACCTGTGAACGGCGTCTCTTCACACACGGCCCCGGCTGTGAACAGGTGAGCGACGAGAGCCCGGCGGCGAGGCCACCTGTGAACGGCGTCTCTTCACACACGGCCCCGGCTGTGAACAGGTGAGCGGCGAGAGCCCGGCGGCGAGGCCACCTGTGAACGGCGTCTCTTCACACACGGCCCCGGCTGTGAACAGGTGAGCGGCGAGAGCCCGGCGGCGAGGCCACCTGTGAACGGCGTCTCTTCACACACGACCCCGGCTGTGAACAGGTGAGCGGCGAGAGCCCGGCGGCGAGGCCACCTGTGAACGGCGTCTCTTCACACACGGCCCCGGCTGTGAACAGGTGAGCGACGAGAGCCCGGCGGCGAGGCCACCTGTGAACGGCGTCTCTTCACACACGACCCCGGCTGTGAACAGGTGAGCGACGAGAGCCCGGCGGCGAGGCCACCTGTGAACGGCGTCTCTTCACACACGGCCCCGGCTGTGAACAGGTGAGCGGCGAGAGCCCGGCGGCGAGGCCACCTGTGAACGGCGTCTCTTCACACACGGCCCCGGCTGTGAACAGGTGAGCGGCGAGAGCCCGGCGGCGAGGCCACCTGTGAACGGCGTCTCTTCACACACGGCCCCGGCTGTGAACAGGTGAGCGGCGAGAGCCCGGCGGCGAGGCCACCTGTGAACGGCGTCTCTTCACACACGGCCCCGGCTGTGAACAGGTGAGCGACGAGAGCCCGGCGGCGAGGCCACCTGTGAACGGCGTCTCTTCACACAATACCCCGGCTGTGAACAGGTGAGCGACGAGCTCGGCAGCGAGGCCACCTGTGAACGGCGTCTCTTCACACACGGCCCCGGCTGTGAACAGGTGAGCGACGAGCTTGGCAGCGAGGCCGCCTACTCGGGACAGCTGCGCGCGCAGCTGCCCGCCGCCACCGCCGAGGCGGCCGCCGCGCTGTGGCGGTGCGTGCAGCCGCTGCTGCAGGCGACGCTGCTCGCCACTCCGTCACTCACGCCCGAGGCGGTCCGCATGTTGGCGGCGCTGCGCGGCGTGCGCACCCAGCTGGAGGGGATGGGCGTGCAGGCCGAGAGCTTCGAGCCGAGATTGCCCGAGATTGCCCGAGATTGCCCGAGAGTGCAGGTCAAGATGGGCGTCGAGCCGAGATTACCCGAGATTACCCGAGATTACCCGAGATTGCAGGTCAAGATGGGCCTCGAGCCGATCTTCACGACGTGGCTTGCGCACGCGGCGTCGCGCTGGCAGAGCGCCGCCGCCACGACCGCCGCCGCCGCCACGAGCAGCGAGGAGGCGGGCGGCGGGTTCGGCTTGCCGGAGGCCGGGCCACCGGAGGGCGGCGGCGTCGACGGCGGCGCGGGAGAGGCGGACGAGCTGGAGGGCGGGGTCGGAGGAGGTGGAGGCGGAGGTGGAGGCGGAGGAGGAGGAGGCGGAGGAGGAGGAGGAGGCGGAGGCGGTGGAGGCGGAGGTGGAGGTGGAGGAGGTGGAGGAGGAGGCGGAGGTGGAGGAGGCGGAGGCGGTGGAGGCGGAGGTGGAGGCGGAGGAGGAGGAGGTGGAGGAGGAGGAGCTGGAGGCGGGTCGGCAAGCGAGGCGTCTCTTCACACCTTGCAGCTGTGAACAGGTGGCTCGGCAAGCGAGGCGTCTCTTCTTGCGGTGCTCCGCCCGCTCGAGGACCGGGTGAGGAGGAGGAGGGAGGGGAGGAGGGAGGGAGGGAGGGGAGGAGGGAGGGAGGGAGGGAGGGAGGGAGGGAGGGAGGGAGGGAGGGAGGGGGGGCGGGGGGGGGGGGGGGGGTCCCCAAATCACCCGCTTCCAAAAAACGCCTCGGACCCCTGGTCGACCCCTCCCCTTCCCCAGGTGAGGAGGGAGGGGAGTCTGCTCTTCGACGCCGCGGGCCTTTGGGAATCCGCCAGCCTGGTCGAATCCCTCCTCTCCGGGGTGGGCAGGGAGGTTTCCCCCCCCCTTTCGGCGCTCCCGTTTGGGCTTACCCAGGCGGCGTTTTTTTTTTTTAGTGGAACCCATTCATCAGTCATTAGACTGAACTTACGGCCGGGCTTACCCAGGGGGGGTACGGGGCTCAAGGGGGGGGGCCCGTCGCCCCGTCCAACCGGGACCTGACTTGGGAGGGGGACACGTGGGGCCCTACCGTCGAACCTCCCGCCC